CCCAAAAAGCGCGACCAACGTCTTCTAGAAATAGAAAAAGGATAAGAGCAAGGGAAGATATCGCTTCGTACTTTGAGCTGTCAACGTATCCTCTCTGGTGCACCCTCAGCCGCATTTAACGGTGAAACCCAGGTTCATTTAGTTCATTTAGTTAGTCACTTGCTTTGAAGAATTACTCTAATCAACTTCAAATGAGTAATTGAACCGAAATCTCTCAAAGATCTTACTTCTAATGTACTTTGTGTTGTACTTTGTAGTATACTTTGTGGTGTACTTTGTAGTGTACTTTATAGTGAACTTTATAGTGTACTTTATAGTGAACTTTATAGTGTACTTTCTAGTGTACTTTATAGTGTACTTTATAGTGTACTTTATAGTGTACTTTATAGTGTACTTTATAGTGTACTTTGTATTTAAATCTGTAAACGCATCCTTTCTCGTACTCTGAATTGATTTGAGTCCCCCACAAGATCTCATCGTTAGCTACATTTTCCGACCCACGCATCGATAGGTTCTCATAAGCGGCTTTTGAGATTTCGAGGAATTTAGGCAACGCTCCGGGTGCACTACTATTAGGTAGAATACGGTAATTGGATGTCAAGTTACAGTCGAAAAATCGAGCTTCCATAATTGTGTGCTATTCTGTATTTTCCTTTCCCCTCAAATCCTTTACACTTCTTATTTTCCTTATTAATACGGTAAATTGGCAAAAAAAAAGCAAAAATTCTTGACCATGTGGCGCCAAATGTCTTTTTTCTTCCTCTCTTCGATCCGAAATGAGCTCATTTCACGAGAGAAAAAGAGAATGACGGGGATTACTGTGGGAAACACTTGAGATTTCTTTGTGACTCCAAGAGATTTCTGCTATTTATTTTATTTTTTTACTATTGCTTAACACAATCCAGAAATCCAGATCGCACGGGATCCAGAAATTATGGCAAAAATTGATCTCATAGATTAGTTGGAAATAGGGCAAATCTAAATCTCTTGCGCCGCTGAGAGTCGAAACCGTGAGTGGCCGGCGCTTCCCAGCCAACTGTGCTAACCATTACACCACAATGCACCTGATCTCCTTTACTCCAGAGCGAGTTAAATGATTTGGGTATAGTGACGCTTGAAACGGCGAAAGCCTGCCCCCAAAGAAAGCTCCTAGAAGGAGGATAAAGGCCAGCGAAAAGGACGCCAACTAGTTCGTTCAAATGGCGCAGTGCCTAAGCTGCTGTTTCTTGTGCAGAAGGAGAGGGGTTCGACCCAGCCTCAAGCTCGAGTTTTTGCAAATTTTCGATTGTTTGAAAGAATCCTTGTGACGAGCTGGGAAAGTTATCGGCAAAACTGTGCTAACCATTAAACCAACCAACCAATCAGGCTCTTGATCTCCTTTACTCAAGAGGGGAGTTAACTGCACAATTCTTTGGGAAGTTGGGAAGGGCCAAACCATTCCACAATTCTCTTTAGAATTGGCAGGGTTTGACCCCAGGTTTAGTTTTTACAAATTTTCGATTCTTCGAAAGAGAAATCTTTCGAGATGAGAAATTTGGGGTTTTCGGGGTCGGGAAAGGATTAGAGCTTTTCATTTTATTGAGTTTACCAAACAAACGAATCTTGTGACTGATTTTCTAAAGAATTAACCAAACTTGAAGAAAAGAAATAAAGCACAAAGAACTAGTCTGAAATCTGCTATAGTCATAGCTGCTAAAGTTGAACTTTGCAGATCTCAAAAATTTCGTTAAGTCAATAGATTTGGGGTACTCATTTGCTTCATAATTTCCTCTCTATCTACACCCAGCTACTCACTAACAAATCGCCTAACGAGCCTAACGAACTAAGAGAAGGAATTGAGTGAAAAGAGGAAGAGAAAGAGGGAGAGGAAGAGAAAGAGAGAAGAGAAAGAGAAAGAGAAAGAGAAAGAGAAAGAGAGAGAGGAAGAGAGAAGAGATGGGTCTCTTTTCTAAGTGATTCCCGCTTTTGACTCCTCCAAATTCGTTTAAACATTTCACGTTAATTTCGAGTAACGAGTTGGGGAAATTTAGCTTCACATTTAGCTCCACATTAGTGAAGTTTTGAAAATCGATTCAATTTTCAAAAGATTTTGTTCAATCAAACTTTCAGCTCTTATTTTTAGAAATGTTTTTGTATTTTTTGCAAGTCTTTGCCTTCAAGATTGACTAAATAAAAGAATGCAAGGAGTTTAAATTAAGCAAATTTCTTTGTATGGTTTTTCCATACAAATTTCCATCAAAGGAAATAACTGTAGCTGTGCGCCTGTAACTGCGCGCCTGTAACTGCGCGTCTGTAGCTGTGCGCCTGTAACTGCGCGTCTGTAACTGCGCGTCTGTAGCTGTCCGCCTGTAACTGCGCGTCTGTAACTGTGCGTCTGTAGCTGTCCGCCTGTAACTGCGCGTCTGTAGCTGCGCGTCTGTAACTGCGCGTCTGTAACTGCGCGTCTGTAACTGCGCGTCTGTAACTGCGCGTCTGTAACTGCGCGTCTGTAACTGCGCGTCTGTAACTGCGCGTCTGTAACTGTGCGTCTGTAACTGTGCGTCTGTAACTGTGCGTCTGTAACTGTTTTCTAAATCAGTTTTTCGCGAGGAATTCGAATTTCTTATTCTTATTATATGTCGATGGATCTGTTCGTTCGATTGTTCACAAGAAGCTTTACAAATATCCGTACAAGATCCAAAAAGGCTTAGCTTAACTGTGCGCCTGTAACTGTGCGCACAGTTAAGCTAAGCATCTTGCGATGACGATTCGTTTAAAGCGTTGCAAGCTGCTGAAATGCTTTCCCACTCCGGCCTCAAGTTCTCCAATTCCAATCGAATTCCAATCGAATTCCACTCCAATTCTTTCCTCCAATCGAATTCTTTTCACGAACCAATATCTATGTTGAGCTATTTGTTGAAAAGAAATATTATAATTATATAATTTGGATCCATCTTATTTTAATCTGATTTTCTCGCTTGACTCTACGAAAATATCGTCTGAAAACTTTTTACGCATCTTGTACTTGAAGCTAAATCATTTCCATAGCTGAGATTCCCTTAACTTCTTCATCCAAGTGCCTTCTTTTCAATTTAGATTCCCTTCTTCCTTCTTTCTCTTCCTCTTCCTCTTTCTCTTTCTCTTCCTCTTCCTCTTCCTCTTTCTCTTCCTCTTTCTCTTCCTCTTTCTCTTTCTCTTCCTCTTTCTCTTTCTCTTTCTCTTTTCCTAATTTGTCGCCGCGAACAACTCGATTAACGCAATTAGGTACACACACATAGAAGTTGGGATGAAGAAAGAGAAAAGAATTTGAGAGAAAAGAGGACACAAATCGCGGGGACATTGATGAGTTGTCCATTCAGCCTCATTTAGGGATTTCATTTTAGTGTGCCACTTGTTGATTTCTATGTACCTCTTTGTTTTTGCATTTGGATTTAATTTTAAAGCTTACTCTAGCTCCCTAGTTCCCTAGCTCTCATTTACTCCTTAACTTTCCCATTTACTCCTCCAAAGAACATCCTCAATACAAACCTAGATTGCCTAACTAAACTGTAGCCTTTCACTGTGCCAAATCGTTTGCGTTTCCACCAGCCAACCTTGTACTTTGGGCTGAAAGCTGTAAACGCGTCCCTTCTAGTGAAATCAAGCGAAAACTGGAGAATTTGTGAGAAAACTGGGGAATTCTGTGCACTAGAAGGGATGCGTTTAGAAATTTTTTATTGAAAAAGATCGCTCAAGATTTTTACTTTGATTTTGAAAAGGAAAAATCTAGAGCTATCTTTTTCGATCGATTCTTTTCGATTGATTTCTAAACGCATGCCTTCTAGTGCACAGAATTCCTTTCCAAAGTAGCATCTGAGCTAATTTCTTTTTGGCGAAACTTATCCCCCAAAAAATCAAACGCAAAATTCTCAGGATTAATGGTGAAATTGTGAAAAATCCTGTTAAGTCCCTTAAACCGCAATCTTTTCGAGTGAATTCAAGGGGATTCTCGCGGATTATTGCCAAAAAATAATGAATGAAAAACACACAAAACACTTTCCGGCTTAGCCAGCAAGCTTATTTTATTTATTTGAGAGCTTTGACTTTTTTTCTCTCTTTCCCTCTTTTTTTGTTTCAGTCTATTTAATTTGAAATTGTTAATATTTAGAAAAATTGGACTCGTTTTTAGGATTTTTTTGACTACTCTAAGCCGTCTTTTTGATAATAAATTTGCTTTGAATTACTTTGAGTTTCTGAATTTCTTTGAATTACTTTAAATTTCTTTAAATTTCTTTGAATTTCTTTAGATTTCTTTCAATTTCTTTCAATCTCTTTAAATTTCTTTAAATTTCTTTAAATTTGCTTTGAATTTCTTTAGATTTCTTTCAATTTGCTTTAAATTTGCTTTAAATTTGCTTTGAATTACTTTGAGTTTCTGAATTTCTTTGAATTTCCTTAAATTTGCTTTGAATTACTTTGAATTTCTTTAAATTTCTTTGAATTTCTTTAAATTTCTTTAAATTTCTTTAAATTTCTTTAAATTTGCTTTGAATTTCTTTAAATTTCTTTGAATTTCTTTGAATTTGCTTTGAATTTCTTTCAATTTCTTTAAATTTCTTTAAATTTGCTTTGAATTTCTCTAAATTTCTTTAAATTTAGAGAATTTCTTTAAATTTCTTTGAATTACTTTGAATTACTTTGAATTGTCTTCTTTGAAGAGGCTTTGTCTCTGAAAATCAACAACTGAAGTTAGAGATTCGTTTTTTTAGTACATTTTCATTTAGTGCATTTTCGTTTTCAATTCAAATTCAAATTCCAGCTCAAATTCCATTTTCATTTCCATTTCCAATTCAAATTCCATTCAATTCGAGTTCAAATTCCATTCAATTCAAATTTAAATTCTATTCTATTTTATTCTATTCTATTTCAATTCAAATTCAAATTCCATTCAATTCAAATTCAAATCCCAAACTCTCATATCAAAATCTAAACTTTAGATGGATTAACAACCGTCATCTGGTCGATTTTTTTTTTTTGAGAATATGTCTGATTTTGGCGGTTTGCCCCAATTGGCACAATATGGGTGAGTTAAAAGCTTTTTGAAGGCTTTCCAGTACTTAACTTTTATAGAATATTTAACGAAAGATTGGGCCTAAAGCCCAGAGTCAGATCTGGCCTGGATTTGGTTTAGGGTCAAGGGTCAGGACCTGCATCTGTTTGTTTATCTTTTATCTAGAAAAGTATCATTTTTTGATTTAGTCAGGCACAGAAGGTATCTGTGCTAGCCAGTCGCCAGGGTTTTGACCTGGCTACAGTACTACTGACCCGGTAAAGCCAGCTGGTTACCTGAGCTAGTCAAGGGTCAAAGCTGGAGACGGGCTACAGTGCTGTTGGCCCGGTAAAGCTAGACTAGTTACCTGAGTTAGCCATCAGTCAAAGCCTGAGACTGGTGACAGTATTGCTGGTCCGATAAAGCCAGACTAGCCAGATCTAAACCCTGATTCCAGGTACTAGGTACTTTTATGTACCAGATTAGGGCAATTAAGCAATAAAACTGAACCAAGAGTCAAGGACAATACTGCTGTACTTACTAGAGAAAGGCAAGCACTTGCCGTGGCATTTTGGAAAGAGACCAAACCCATCTTATAGAATCGAACACGCTGAGTTCGAATCTGCTTTTAGTTTTTGCCTTCAAGGCCTGTAAGACAAGATATCTGGATTGCCACCTAGACCTAGACCTATACTAGCCAGTGTTTAAAGCCTAGACCTGGCTACAGTAGCTAGGCCCAGTCTTTGATCTCAGTCTTGCTACAGGACGGTAAAGCCAGACTATTAGCCAGACTATTAGCCAGACTAGTAGCCAGACTATTAGCCAAACTAGTAGCCAGACTAGTAGCCAGACTAGTAGCCAGACTACTAGCCAGTCTTGCTCTCAAGTCAGACTAAAAGATATTCAATAATACAGTCCTTTTTAGATTGGACAACCTGGGCGGGCCATCATCAGTCTCCGAGAATGGCGGTGACAATTCACCAAGCGATCCACCAAGCAATCCCACAGAAATCTCATTGCGAAACGTTTTTGGGCAAAGCTTTGGACTTGGTGAGTTCAAGAATTGCAATTGTATTTATAAATTTTCGACCTAGTTTCTCCATTTAGTTTAAAAACAACACATTAAACCTTTCAAAATCAAAATTTTCCACCCTTTTTGAATTCTATTGCTTAAATGCAAATTGAATCTTGATTCTGGAATCGATTCGGGAATTTCTGCAAATTCGGATTGTTCGATATAGATCCTTGTTTTTAGTTTTAACATTTGTAATCAATTTTTCTAAACATTTTCTCATTCATTCGTTAGTTTGTAAGCGGATTTTTTTAGTTTTCTTCGATTTTCCTCACACTTTTCCCTCCTAATTCCACTAATTTGCTCCATCAGTTAATAGGGAAAAGGCAGAGATTTCGCAGAGATCGGCAGAGATCTTTTTGAGAAGAAAGAAAGAAAGAGAGAAAGAAAGAAAGGAAGAAAGGAAGAGAGAAAGCGAGGCAGAGAGAAGAAAGAAAAGAAGAGAGAAAGAAGAAGAAAGAAAGAAAGAAAGAAAGAAAGAAAGAAAGAAATCTCTTCATCAAAGAAATCCGTTCCTAAGAATTCTATTACTATAAGTTCTCATCTATTTTAATCTTAGTGCTAAAGCTAAGTTTTCTCTGAGAAAACAAAGATCTTTCCGTATTTCCTCTAATAAACGCCCCCCCCCCTTGACCAACTTTGGACGCTTCGTTCTCAGCTCCATTTGGAGATATTTTTATGTTTAATATATCAAAAGATAGAAGACATTAAGGGCTATCTTTTGATATATTAAACATAAAAATATCTCCAAATGGGGCTGAGAACGAAGCGTCCAAAGTTGGTCAGGGGGGGGGGGCGTTTATTAGAGGAAATACGGTTGATCCTTCTCTGAGGTCTTTAAGATCTCAGAGATCATCTCAGATCGATTTCCAAGGGTTAAAAAAATCACAAAATAAGAATTCTAAAATTTTTAACTACTAAATGATTGAAAGAACTGAAATATCAAATTTCAAACTTTTTAGCTTCAAATTAAGCTTTTTGTTGAGATCTACAATCTTTAAAAGGGACTCTTTAAAACGGACTATCACACGGTCCCAAAAAGTAACCGAGTGGCCGAGTGGTTAGGGGGCCGAGTTGGTAGTCTAGGCCTGGCTGGTTCGACTCCTTTAGCGGTCCTTTTTTTGCCAGAAAACGTAAAGATAGCAAAAGTTTATTTAAAGCTAATAAACAACAAATAATTCAACATCAATGATTCAATCAAAAAATCAAAATGAAAGACTTTTTCCATCTTTTCGTTCTTCCTTTCTTCCTTCTTTCTTTCTTCCTTCTTCCCTTCTTCCTTTCTTCCTTCTTCCTTTCTTCCTTCTTCCTTCTCCCCTCTTTCTTTCTAAGCTTTATGCTCTTTATTAAACTATTACTTTAACCAGAAGCTATGTCTTTTTAAAGTGTTGCTGTGGTACTGTTAGATATGGGGTACAACAATAGAACGGCACCATCATAATGACCAGCGTACAGTCGCGTAGTCCAACTTTGAACGTCCCATTCTCAGCGCTGTTTTAGGCTACAGTGGTTGTTGGTTTGTTAGAGTTGAGGTTGTTAAGGTTGTTGAAAACTAGATGGGTCGTTTATTTTCTCAAACATTGATTATCCATGGATCTTTCAGAGGATGCCCGTCCATCTTTCCCCTTTTCCCCAATCGAATCCAACTCCGATCAACTCTCGAATCTCCTCGATTTCGGACATTTTCTAAACAATGCCCCACTCGATTTGGGCATCGCCGCTTTAAGGAATTCAAGTAAAACGTTGAAGGTTTGTTTTTTAAAGAAATTTACACGATTTTCCTGAAATCAAGACTTAATATACCGTAAATACTGTAATAGTACCCCACCCTCATAATGACGGTGCGGAGTGTTGCGTAGTCTAGCTTTGAGTGCGTTTTTCTCGACACTGGTTTATGCTACAATGCGCGCTTAGGTATCAAAAGATAGCTGAAATTCAGGGCTATTTTTTGATACCTAAGTGAGTATTGTAGCATAAACCAGTGTCGAGAAAAACCATAATGACGATGCGGAGCGTTGCGTAGTCGAGCTTTGAACGAGTTTTTCTCGACACTGGTTTACGCTACAATGCGCGTTTAGGTATCAAAAAAGAGCCCTGAATTTCAGCTATTTTTTGATACCAAAGACACATTTTTTGAAAGTACGGGCGCTTTGAAAAAAATGAATGAAAAAAATACTAAAAAACTTTTGCGATTACGCGACGGTACGATACGCGACTGTACTATTACAGTATTTACGTATTTGGGATTTGGGGTACTATTACAGTATTTACGGTAAGTATTTTTATCCCACGATCAATAATTTGCCATTAGAAAAATAACGTTTCTGCCATAGTTTTTGAAGAAAAATCGCGAGTTTGAAGGGATTTTCAGCTTAAACGACCTTTAAATACAATGTTTTTAAAGATATTCAGTTAATCAGCTCACGTTAAAGATATTCAGTTAATCAATTCACGATTTTCTTTGCTTTTAAAGAAGTAAGTTAAATTTGTAAAAACTAAACTAAATAGCTGAATACTTTATTTTTACGAGGCTATAGACTAATTTAGATGGTTTTTTTGAAATTTTATTTATTTAAACTTTATAAATTAGAATCCTAATTGATAAAACATTCGAATTTTTAGTGTCCAAAGTGTAATTGGCACTACAAATACCAGGAAACTCTCGAGATTCACATGAAAGAGAAACATTCAGAGACTGAGGTGAGAGAGTTCTTGTTTTAACTTGTTTTAACTTGCTTTAACTTGTTTACAGTATTAAAAAGTAGTCCTGTAAATGATAATTAGTTTTTATTTAAAAAGATCTTCAATTCATCATTCAAAATCCTCAGATTCGTTGTGCTTACTGTGTCGAGAATCGACCGCATCCGAAACTCTCGCGCGGAGAGACCTACTCGTGCGGCTACAAGCCCTATCGATGTGAACTTTGTAAATACAGGTATTTACATATAGTATTTACATATTTGAGGGCTATTTGTCTGCTTTTCCGTGCCAGCCATGTTAATTCATTGAAAAAGCAAAAAAATGATCTTGACCCCGCGGTCCGGATTCGAACCCACGACCCCTGGATCTAGACACCAGCACGCTATCCCCTCGACTACACCTGCTCCCCGTCCTCTCGAAAAATTTTCCTATACATGGACCAACGTTGTAAACTCCGTCCCTTTTTCAATCCGTGGGTAGAATTAACATGGCTGTATACGAAAATTTTTCGACCCTACGAGAAGCAGGTTTGGCCGAGTGGATAGGGTGCCGGTCTACAGATCCGGGGCATCGTGGGTTCGGATCCAGATGCGGGAGGTTTCTTTGCTTTTTTTGTTCCTTGAAAGACGTTGTCTTTGAAATGAAAACATTAAAAGATTGACAGACAATACTCGTTCTGGAACTGACTTTAATAGCCTATGGGTGCTCGAAATTAGCATTCAAAATATCCGCCTCTTCGTATACTTCCGTACTCTCCACATTCTTTCTCCGCTAGAATACAGCTTGCTCTATTGCTTGCTCTACTAGGATACAGCAACTATTTTTGCAAACACTTTAGCGTAAAACCAGTGTGAAAAGCCACCGTTAGGGTGGTTTACTATATAAAAGGATAGTGTTTATAAAAACTATATAGTTCTCGGCTTCTCCTAAGCTTTTTTTACATCATTTTTACTTTATTAGGCTTAGAATTCTATATAGTTGAGCATCTCATTTCATTTTTTAAAAAGCCAAAGTCACGCAACATCCGGGAGTCGAACCCGGCGAAGTTGTGGGCCGCTGTGGGCCGTAGACAAGCGCGCTCCCGACTGCGCCACGGCGGCACCGACCTCCAGCCAGAAAAACCCCAGAAAAACTAGCCGTTTCAGATTTCTAGGCTGATTTCCATATAATATCACTTATCAGCAATGTACTTGGTGCTAAACTTTGTAAGCGCATCCCTTCTGGTGCACTGATTTCATTACAATATTGAGCTCAAAGTACGCCCGAGTACGCTAGAGTACACTTTTCAGCACGACAACGAAAGGCAATCTGAGCATTCACATGCAAAGCGATAAACACCTACACGCCGTGCAAGAGCTCCCGAATTCTTTGGGTAAGCAAAAAATGAAAAAAATGAAGCTAGTAGACAAATTTTTAGCTATTATCTATATCAAATTTATATTATTATGCTAATTTTATGCTAATTTTTCAATTTTTCAGTTAATGCAAGTATCACAGTCCCTTCGGGCTCATCCAACTCCTCCCAACAACTTCAAATTGCTCAATTGGTAGATAAAATTTGCATTTGACTGCGTTTAGCTACATTTAGCTATCTATTAGCTACTTTTAGCTACATTTAGCTATCTATTTATATTCAAATATGCTAATTTTATGCTAATTTCATTCAGGAAAAGCGCTTTGTTTGCGGAGTTTGCGGGAATTTCACCACGGATTCGTTGAAAGAGATGCTCGAGCACGCGGAAAGGGTTTGTTACTGTAAAAGGCTGGAAATAAACTACTGTATCGTGGCTGGATATCATAGATAGCGATCATCATAGATATTTTTGATATCGATAACGATTTCCAGGATCGTTCCCGAGCCTCGCTGAGTGACGTGAGCGCTGTAAATGGCGTCTTCATTTGCCATCTTTGCCCCTACAAAACGAATCTCAAAGCAAACTTCCAACTGCATACGAGAACCGATAAACATTTGCAGAGAGTACAAATGGTCAGTTAAAAGCTCAAGCTTCAGCTAAAAGATAGTCTATTTCCGAAAAACGACCGTAATCTCGCCAGTTTTCGTTTAGATCTGTCTTAATTTTGGTTTAATTGACTGAGCTTTGCGAGTCACTCGTCGAATTTGATTAAAATTGAGCTGATCTAAGAAAATTAAAATTGAGCTGATCAAGAACTTACGGTAGTTTGCCTGGGTCTTTTAGAGAACGACTTGACGCTGTTCTAATGGTAAAGCTGTTCTAATGGTAAATCTAAGCCTAAGCTAGGCCAGGTTAGGCTAGAAGTCCAAGGCCAAGCTAGGCTAGAAGGCCAGGGTCAAGCTAGGCTAGAAGACCAGGGCCAAGCTAGGCTAGAAGATCAGGGCCAGGTTAGGCTAGGCTAGAAGATTAGAAGCCTGGGTCTGACTTGAAGGCTTGGATGAAGCTAGAAGGCTTGGATGAAGCTAGAAGGCTTGGATGATCTCTGGCTACAGTCTCAGATTAGATTTCTCAGAATTCCCAGAATTCTCAGAAGCTGATAAATCAGTTACAGAAATTCTCTAAAGAAAATAAGTCCCTTTTCAAAATCTTTCCCAAATAAATGATTTATCAGCTGTACTACCTCTCAATTCTTATACTTGTAATTGGCATCAATCTGAAAAGCTCGTTGTGAAGGACCTTGCCTATTGCCCAATTTCACCCGGGGAGAAAAAGCGGAAAGAGAAAAGAGGTGCTGGCAAATTTCATGCATAATCGACTCAAATAATCGCTCATGCATTTCTCTTTACGAACACGGGAGTGGCTCAGCTTTTAAAAGGTTCTTTTGGGGCTAGGTAAGGACAGGATAAATGAATTTTCCCTGCAGAGTGCTTACTATGAGAATGGGGACCGATTGAAAACGAATTTAAGCTAATAACAAGCCATAGCACAGTAACACACTACAGTAATGTAATAATGGTATGGGAGAGTACTGTAGGCTTAAAAGCCAAGAGTCTAGGCTACGGTAGAGTACTGTTGTCCTGAAAGCCAAGGGTTTAAGCCATTAGCGGTCATTAAGTCATTCACACTATAAAAGCCATTAGCTATTGCAATCTCCATGTCTGAATTAAGTGCTAAGTTATTATGAAGATAAAAGCCATATCCTTTTTCATTTTTGTTGGGGCTGGGACACCTTCTTTAGTACCTAGGACACCTTGTAGCACTTTAAAAACATCGGCATACCGATGTACTTCTTCGCTTACAAGGAATGCACATGGAACAAGCAAGTGTGCGATCTAAATATAAGAAAAAATATTAAAAAGAAACCAACTCCCACTCCAATCACAAAAATTTGTTTGAAACCGAAAAGGCTCGCATAGAATGTTCCATCCATCGACCAACAACCATTCTGAAGCATAGAATATTCCACCCATCGACCCACAACCATTCTGAAGCATAGAATGTTCCATCCATCGACCAACAACCATTCTGAAGCATAGAATGTTCCATCCATCGACCCACAACCATTCTGAAGCATAGAATGTTCCATCCATCGACCAACAACCATTCTGAAGCATAGAATGTTCCATCCATCGACCAACAACCATTCTGAAGCATAGAATGTTCCATCCATCGACCAACAACCATTCTGAAGCATAGAATGTTCCATCCATCGACCAACAACCATTCTGAAGCATAGAATGTTCCATCCATCAACCAACAGTCAATCTGAAGCACCTTGCTTCTAGCACATGGGACAAACAAGTGTGCCATCTGAATCTAAGAGAAAATACTAAAAAGAAACCAACTCCCATCAACTTCCACTCTAATCACAAAAATTTCTTTGAAACCGAAAGGGCTTTCATTTCTTGCTGTAGTACTTTCGGCATCGGCATCGGCATCGGCATCAGCATCGGCATCGGCATATTGATGCGCTTCATACAAGGAATACGTATGCACATGGAACAAACAAGTGTACGATCTAAATAAAGAAAAAAATATTAAAAAGAAACCAACTCCCATCAACTTCCACTACAATCACAAAAATTTGTTTGAAAAGGACTTGAATAGAATGTTCCATCCATCGCCATTCTGAAGCACAGAGCAAGGAAAATAAAAATTCCTTACTTGTGCCAGTTTGTCGTTTCCCCAGTCAGACGTTTTTCCCAGTAAAAACCTTTATCAGCCCAAGCAATAATGACATTAATGAGATTTAATAATGACAATGTTTAGGTGAATCACGTGCGCGAGGGTGCTGGCTCGCAAAACGCGAATCTGAGCCGACTAGCTGCAATGAAGGGACCATTCCAAGTGCTCTGCCGACCATGTCAAGAGATATTTCCGAGGTTTGCCTTACACTTACTCAAATCAAAGGTTACTCAAATCACTTAGGACTTAGGCTAACAACTAAACTAAGCAATTTGCTTAAAGACAACTGCTTTACGATCCAGGCTTACGATTACGATCGTTAGTTAAATCCAGAGTTATTCTTAAAGTTGTTGTTGTTAGAGTTAGAGTTGTTTTTAAAGTTGTTCTTAAAGTTGTTCTTAAAGTTTGTAACAATCGCCTCTTCCAGTTCTTTGATTCTTCGCGAGCATTGCGAGGCTGTCCCTCACAAATCCCTCGTTCGTCTACCGATCTTTCAAATGACGTGCAATATCTGCGCATTCATCACACCACATAAACATGAAGCAATCAGTGAGTGCTTTTTGTAAAAGAACTGTCAGAAAGTGATCCAAATCGTGAAAATGAAGAGCTTAAGCATTTTCAATGACTAGAAGTCCATGAAGATGAAGTTCTATGAAGATGAACTGGCTAGAAGACTGGCTAGAAGACTGGCTAGAAGACTGGCTAGAATACTGGCTAGAAGTCTGGTCTGGCCAAAATCCAAACCAGAACCAAACCAGAACCAAACCAGAACCCCATAAACAAGTCTAGTCTGACCAAAAACCAAAACAGATTAAGCCTTAAAACAATCCTGATAAAACTCAAAGCTTTTTGCAGGTTCAGCGTCCCGAAAGTCCAAAAAAACATTCCCCCATTTCCCAGTCAGTCCCTAAACTTGAATAAATTTCTGCTCTGTTCTCTTTCCGAAATTTCGATTTCCCCAATAAATTTTGGCAATGATTGAATGGGGAAAAGGGGGCTTTATAATGAAGTCACAGTCACAGAGCTCGTGATGATTATTATGTGCCTCTCTTTTCAGTCAATAACTCTTTTCCCCGATCTTTTCCCGTTTTTCGCCCCTCATTTACATGACGATATTATTGGTCGAGTGTGGCGATGATCGGGGGGAAAATGAATATACGAAGGGAATTGATTAGTGTGATGGATAGAGCTGTGATGGATAGAGGTGTTCGATTGATACAGCTATAGTAGATAAAGCTTGAAATCTAGACTTAGAGAAATCTAGACATAAACTTAGAGACTTTTGATTTGCAAAGAAAGAAAGAAAGAATATCTATGTGATATCATATTAAAAAGGAAAAATGGACTACAATCTCATTAGATTCCTATAGATTATTACCGTAAATACTCAAATAGAAGCCCCTCTTATAGGAGTGTCGCGTAGTTGACTCTCAAAGAACGGCTCATATCTTGGGACTAGTAAGTTTGTTTCTATTAGTTTAGGTATCAAATTAAAGTAGAGAGAATGGGTAATTTTTTGAGATATAACACAAATTTTTAGCATTAACCAGTGCTTAGAAAAAATGATTGAAAAGTGGCAAAATTTTCGATTTTTCGATTTTTTTGATTTTTCATCATTTTTCAATCATTTTGTTCTAAGCATTGGTTAATTCTAAAACTAAATGTTATATCTCAAAAAATCACCCATTCTCTCTACATTAATTTGATACCAAAACGAATAGAAACAAACGTACTCATGTCGAGATATAAACGTTTATTTGAGAGTAAATTTGGACTACGCGACGCTCCCCCCGGCTCTATCTCGATCACTCATCCACTCGCGAAAGATGTTAAAGTAGGCGTTTGGCTTTTAATATCGATAATTTCGGTTGGGAAATGTACGGTTTGGGAAGCGAATCTTTCTCCAATTTCCCCGAATCGTCCCGAACGTGTTCAACACATTAACAAACATTTCCAAAAAATCAATTTCAGATCATCTTCTCTGCCATGACACCTCGACATGGCTCGAGCAAACGCATTGGAATGAGGGTGAGTGCATACTTTCAAATCTGTTTTCTAAAAAGCATCTATGAAATTGTCAGACAAACTACCGTAATCCCGCCAATTTCTATTCAATTTTATTCAAATTTGATAAATTACTCATAAAGCTTCGTCAATTATACAAAAATAGACAAATCTAAATGAAAACTGGCGAGATTTCAGTAGTTTGCAAGGCTTTTTAGAAACCAAATGTATAGAGAACAAGATACCGTAAATACTGTAATAGTATCCCACCGCCATAATGACGGCCGGAGCATCGCGTAGTCTAGCTTTGAGCGCGTTTTTCTCGACACTGGTTTATGCTACAATGCGCGCTTTGGTATCAAAAATAGCTGAAATTCAGGGCTATTTTTCGATATTAAAAGACGGAGCATCACGTAGTCTAACTTTAAATGCATTTTTCTCGTCATCAGTTTATAATGACAGCCGGAGCATCGCGTAGTCTAACTTTGGACACGTTTTTCTCGACACTAGTTTATGCTACAATGCTCGTTTAGGTATCGAAAAATAGCCCTGAATTTCAGCTATTTTTTGATACCTAAACGCGCATTGTAGCATAAACCAGTGTCGAGAAAAACTCGTTCAAAGCTAGACTACGCAACGCTCCGCATCGTCATTATGGTTTTTCTCGACACTGGTTTATGCTACAATGCTCGTTTAGGTATCGAAAAATAGCCCTGAATTTCAGCTATTTTTTGATACCTAAACGCGCATTGTAGCATAAACCAGTGTCGAGAAAAACTCGTTCAAAGTTAGACTACGCGATGCTCCGCTATTTTTTGATACCAAAGACGCATTTTTTGAAAGTACGAGCTTTGAAAAACTAAGCGCTTTGAAAAACAATGCAATACTAACAAAACTTTTGCGACTACGCGACTGTACGAGAGGGCGGTGGGGTACTATTACAGTATTTACGGTAGATTCTTTTTTTTTATGTTAAATTTTCCTTCTTTCTAAGTATTTTATTCTTTTTATACAATCTACAGTAATAATTTCTTCCCTAAATCCAATTAAATAAAAAAAAAACGATGAATTTAATGATTTTTTTAGCTCAAAGAAACCCCTTTCATCTTATTATTTCTGAGAAAAAAAAAAAGAATTTCTGTGAATTTTCATACGATTTGTGCGGAAATTTTGTTTAAAGCGGGCAAATATTGACGCATTTTTCGCTCGTTTTTTCCATTTTTTTGGCTCGTTTTGCTTGTTGGCGTTAAGATGATTACGAAGACTTGAAAAGGATCAAATTTCAGTGTACATTTGCTGTACATTGTGCTCATTTTTGGTAAAACCACCCTTCTGGTGCACTGACTTCTTTGGTTTCAGTTCAGTTGGCCAATAGTTAAGCTTAAATTGATCGATTTCCGTTCAGTTACACAAAAACTGGCCAAAAAGTGATAGATTTTCGTTCAGTTACTCAAAAACTGACTTAAAATCGATAGATTTTCGTTTAGTTACACAAAAACTGGCCAAGAATCAATAGATTTCCTATCAGCTACTCAAAAACTGACTTAAAATCGATAGATTTTCGTTTAGTTACACAAAAACTGGCCAAAAAGCTATAGATTTCCGTTCAGTTACACAAAAGTTGACTTAAAATCGATAGATTTCCTTTCAGTTACTCAAAAACTGGCCAAAAATCGATAGAGTTTCGTTTAGTTACTCAAAAACTGGCCAATAATCAATAGATTTCCTATCAGCTACCCAAAAACTGACCAATAATCAATAGATTTCCTTTCAGCTACTCAAAAACTGTACTAGTAATGCTAAAATCGATGAATTTTTCCTTCAAATTTACGCCCATTCCCTATTCTCATTTCCCTACTAACCATTCCAGAGAAAATCCAAATGAGAATCGGCATTGAGGTTGAGAGGTGGAGGACAATGAGGAGAGCCCACTCACCCCCTATCCACCTCTCTTTTTCCTTCCCCCCTTTGCACCGAAAATTTACATAGCCACAAATAAAACCCCGGCCTGTATGTGATCGAGAGATTGTTGAAAAGAAAGAGACACGGTTGGCTAAAGGAAATTTTCTCTAACGATGACTCAAAATGAGTGCCGACCTTGGCTCACCTCTATGGGAATTCGAGGGGATTAAGGAATAGGTTAAGATATTGATATTTAGGTTAAGATTAGTGAAAAGATCCCCTTTTCGAGCTGGCTCTAATTGTTTGATCTGGTTTTTAGATCTGCTCCTTTTAGACTCCGATTGAACATGAGAAGTCAGACTAGAGTCAGACTAGAGACTAAGTCAAACAACAAGTCAGACTTAGCCAGACAAATGATCTGGGAAATAGCTTTGGCTTCAACCTGATTGTCAGCTTTGAGCCAGCTTTGACTAGCTTGAGTTTGAGCTAGATATCATTGATAGCTAGGCCATTGATAGCTAGGCCATTGATAGCTAGGCCATTGATAGCTAGCTAGGCCATTGATAGCTAGGCCATTGATAGCTAGGCCATTGATAGCTAGGCCATTGATAGCTAGGCCATTGATAGCTAGCTAGGCCATTGATAGCTAGCTAGGCCATTGATAGCTAGGCCATTGATAGCTAGCTAGCCTCATTGATAGCTAGCTAGCTAGCCTCATTGTTAGCTAGCTAGCCTCATCGATAGCTAGCTTCTCATTAAACTCCGCATAACAAAAACCTTTGTGAAATCTCTCATTTTGTAGAGAAATAATGGACCATTTTGATGCAAAAAAAGTGGATTTAGAAAAGGCTTTATGCGTCCAAAAATTGTCCTCAAATTTCGGCGCCATTTCATTTTCCTCATCCCAATAAATCTTCAGATTTCTGACGAATCAACCATAAGATTCATTGATCCAAAAAAGATCCAAAACCATCAGAACCATCGATTCCTTTCTTTCCCCTTTCATTCACCCATTCATTTTCATAATTGCGGTCACTCATTGAAGGACTCTTTTCTCAAGGCCTTTTAACCAAGAAAAAAACCAAGAATTGATCACCATGTGTCACGTTAAAACGAAAGAAATGAGGCGAGCTTGAAATAAACGAATGAACAAATGAAATGAACTTGAAAGAGGAAATCTACGATAACTAGAGGAACTAGAGAGGATTATCTGTTTGTCTGTTTGTCTGTTTGTCTGTTTGTCTGTTTGTCTGTTTATCTGTTTGTCTGTTTGTCTGTCTGTCTGTCTATCTAGCTGTATATCTGTCTATCTGTCTGTCTGTTTGTCTATCTATCTGTCTGTTTATCTGTCTGTCTATCTGTCTGTCTATCTAGCTGTCTATCTGTCTGTCTGTTTTTCTGTCTATCTGTCACTACTCCTCCGCGAGAAGGAGCCTCGCACTACTCCTGCTCCTCGCACTACTCCTCAGCCCCCAGAAGACCATTTCAAATGATTTATAGTTCATTTAGCTAAGAATTTCATGAAAAACGTTTTTAAATTCTTAAAAAACCCGTCCGCGTTGGCACTTTTGGATCATGTGGATCATGTGGACTAGAGACGAAATCGGATCATGTGGACTAGAGACAAGTGCTTGCACTGTGCTATCTACTGGTCGAG